ATTTGTTAATCTCTCAGTAAACTTCAGTGCTACCTTGTTAAAGTAAATATATGCAGGTTCTTGTCTTGGGAGTCAAGTTAATTTTTATGCTGCTGTAAAGACAAACATTTCACAATTAAAAATGATTTTTTTTTCCTTCCTTTAGCTTGTTTAGCTGCTTAAACATGTATCATTACTTATACTCTGAGTTTGTTGGGAAAAGCAAAATCATTTGAATGAAATCACTGCTTCAGGGGAAGAGAAAGGAAGGAGGTGCCTTCTGCGTTGGCTGGATCAGCTAAGCTCAATCTTCCAGACAGTGGGATAAGTAGATTTTTTTTCTTTTTTTTTTTTTTCCAAGTAGCTGGCACTCCTGGATGGGCTGAGCTACTTGGCATTGGGAGTTGCCAGTAGTTTTACTGTGGCTATGATAAACCAGGCTGACGTCTCAGGGAGCATACTGATTTTACTGACTTGTAACTCTTTCGTTCTTATTTGAACCTACTTTCTTTTTTAGATTTCTTTAAAAAGTAGTCTTTTTTTTTTTTGCATATAATACTGTACAGTCGGCGCTATGGTGTATATGTACCCAGCTCTTTCTCCATGTCACATCTTCAATTAATGAGATCTGTTTTACCACCTTTTCAGAAGTTTTTTGATTACAGTCGGTTTGTGGAGGGTCACACAACTTTGTTCAAGGCAACTTTAGGTTTTTATTACAGCAACAAATGCTCTATGGCAATTGTTGGCTCTTCAGACTGCTTGATGGCGTCTCTAGCATGGCAGGAGTTGGCCATGGGTCACCGTGGAGTTTGCACGGGGTTTGGCAGGGTACTTGCCATGTTGGTATATTAAAGCCAGGCTCTGCAGAGCTAGTTCTCAATCAGTATAGTTCGAAATAAAACCTCAAAGCTTCTTGGTATAGAAGTAGCATAATCTTCTTGAATTAAGAAATAGTCTATGCTGTTAGTATAGAAAAGTCAACATTTAATATTTTCTTTAATCTGATGGTGATGAGGATTAGACACTGAAGATACCCTGGAATATTATGACCTGAATTCAAAGAGAAGACAATGACAGGTTTCTGGCTTCTCATAGTGGGCTTACACAACAATTGTTATATGATTAACCCACTGCGTGACGAGTCATGTAGAATTTCAGAATATTCTTGTAATATTTGAAGGTTTACAGTTTACTCCCAGCACAGCTCTATTCCAATGGACAAAATCAGAGTCAGAATTTACTCTTGCAGAGAGATCTACCAAACTCCTCTCCCTCTGAAGTAAATCCTTATGTGATCGAAGGAGAAGAATGTGTTGCATTGCCAGCATGGTGTTGCTCTTGATGATGGGTTGCAACAGATCTGTGCTGTAGCTCTCAGCGCATCAAATAGAAGAAGATAGAAAATGGGCCTCTCGGGCAAACAGTTACATAGCAGAATTCCTTGGTTCAAGAGCACTGAAGCCAAAAGTTTCTTGGCATTCTGTCTGCATTCCTTTTCCAGTATGTGCTCAGAATAACTTTGGACTTTTTGGAGCAGAAATGGGACAGACTTTTGAATGTAGACATAAAAACTTGTGCTCAGTTTAGGTGTTAAACTGCAGCTTTGAAAATGTGTTAGGTTTTTATCAAAGCACAGTATGTTGGCAGGCTATAATCTTTTTTTCTGATTCAAATAATCCAAAAAGCCTTGTTGCTTAAACAAAAGCAGATGCTATTCATTGAGTTGTTTATTCATTTTGAAAGTTTCAGTACAAGTTGGTATTATGATGTAAATGCATTTGACCTTTTTTGGTCCTCATTGGTCGTTTTGGTTTTGACTTAGGAAAATGGACCCTAATGAAAGCCACGGTTCTGTGCTATGCCTTAAATTTTAAACAAATTTTCCTTCAGTTCTATGACTGAAAAGTAGCTTTGCTTTGGGTTCCAAATGGGATAAGATTTCACTTGTAGTAAAATAAACAAAATGGCCTTCTGAATTTGAGTTTGGTTTATTTCTGTTGCAATTTTTAAATCTCACTAGAAATAGTAAAGCTCCAAGGTGGAATTACATCACCTGAAAGAAGGCATGGGGTTTAATCGAATACCCTAACTTTCTTTCAAACTATATTGTTTCTGGAACCGATAAATTCCAGAGTCTGTCTGATGTAAAAAATGTTTGACATCTCTGTCATTAACGTTATTTTTTTTTCCTGTGCCCTTGGAACTTCGCTTTGCTGATGACGGGTCACTGCTTTTCCCTATCACACTGGCAGGTAGCAAAACCTGGGCAGCGAAAGACATGGTTGGTGGTACAACTAACTCCCAAGTTCAGAAAAAGCCCTGAGGTTTTGTAATAACAAATCTTATTTGGTTCTGTCTGCAAAGAGAGTCTATTTTGTGCATAGGGGAACCAGTTTGCTTTTTCATCTGGTGGTGTCACCCAAATGTATTTTAGTTCTCGGCTTCTGAGTAACTTCCTACTTTCTACATCTGGTGATAGATCATAAATCTTTAAAGCTGTGCATCAGCCTTCTGCAATGAGTTTTTTATAGTCATGTTTTGCAGCTCACAAATTAACAAAGTGTCTCGTAAAACCTAGTTGTCTTCTAGATGCTTGCCTATTGTACATTTGGATGCTATTCATGCGTTTTCAAATATTGGTTTGAAATTAAGGGAGCTGACTAGTGCTTATTTAACTTTATATTCTCCTCAGGAAAGGCCTCGGTTGTGTTTGTTGATGTTGTGGTTCTGATGCAAAGCCTCTGGACTTCATTTGGTGCTGAGCATCATCTGTACGTTGGCGGCAGGCAGTTGCGTCCCAATGATTCTTCCTTTGGTTATGTGGTTTCATTTTTTCTATTGGAAGGTTTCCTTAGTCCCTATCAGATGAGATCTCTGGCAATGTATGTCATGTTGCACCAGCTCAGGTCTCTGGTTTTGAGGTCAGAAGTGCTGAATAAATGATGAAGAGGGGGGAGAGCTAATCCTGCAGCGAGTCACTTGAGAGCAGCAAAGTGAACAGTTCTGTGAGGTGCCTCAAGGTGTGGGGTTATGCTCTTGGGGTGCTGCACTTTGGTAAATGCCCACATTCCTCCTCCTGCTGTACAGTAAGTGTGTGTCAGCTTTTCCCTCAGAGGAAGGGAGGTTAAAGCTTAGTTGGATGGAGGCATGCACACCAGTGCTGTCACTGCAGCGTATCTCATGTGCTTTGGGTGAAGTAGTATTGTTGGAGTTGCCATAAAACTTGAAGACTGAGCCCATTTCTGAATCAATGAATTGTTTCTGCTTCAAAGTGTGAATTAGCCTGGGCAGTACAAAACATATATTTCCCTTTAGATGGGATGGTGTTGTCCTTTTCAAGAACATTTTTCAAAGGACGGTAAGATCTTGCATGTGGCAAAAAAAAGAAAAAGTAGTTGAGTATAAATCTACACTGGCATATTTTACCTGCACGATATGTCTGCTCTAGTGTAAACACAGTGATGTAACTATAGTGAGAAATTTTGAACTATACATTGCTATTTGGAGGGATGGCATTGCAGTTAAGCATTAACATCCATAAAAGCATGCAGCTATTGGAAATAGAGTGCAAAGTGAAGTCTTCATATAAACATCTTGTGAGGTAGGAGCACATTAATCCGTGCAGTAGCTGGAATCCTTGCAGCAGTTACACGCACAGTACAGAATTGTGAGTGACCAAACTGACTCTGTTTTATCCTTTTTGTAGTTGCTTTTAGAATTTCGTCTCCCAAACACTGAGAAGTCACATGTCAGCTCTTAGACAATCTAGTATCATTGATCTGCTGCAAGTTTTACTTTACTTTTCAAAGATAAAGGAGGCAATTTGTAATTTATGGCAGAAAGACAACTTTTTTTCTTTTAAATATTCATTAATGACACTAATAAAGGTTTGAAGAAAAATGGCTCTATATATTCTCCACAACAAAGGATTCAGGATAGTCAGCTCTGACAGGAGGGATACTTGTGGTTTTCAGAGGATTTAATTTTATAACAAGGTTCAAGGTTTTGCATGTCTAATTCCAGCCCACTAAAAACTAAAATTTTCCAACTCAGCAATACATACTTCATTGTCAGAGCAGTCATGAGACACATGCCATCACTGGGTGCCCTGGAGTGGCTCGCTGTTGCTATGTAATGGACCTTTGTTATGGTAGGACAAAGACTGATTGATAAATTGCCTATAAAAAGTGTCTTTGGAATATTACTTTATTGTCAGTGAAGTCTCTATGTACTTACAGTTATGTCTTTCCTTACAACACCTGCAGTACAATAAAGATTTGTAGTTCCTGGTTGCAGTTGGCTCACTGTAGCACTACACAGAGATACAAGCAATGAACTGGAAGATGACTAAATTAATTAGCTATTCCTTTAGAAGGAAAAAAGAATAATAAAGAAAAGAGAACAATATTGCTGTTGGAAAACTGCCATCAAAAGGTGTGGCTGCTCAGACAAATATGTTTAGCTACCCTTTCTTGACTGTTAAGAGCAGTTGGATCCTCTTACATGTGAAAGATAACTTATTTTGTTGTCTAAAGTCTTGTTTTGATACATTTTATGAACAGCTGTTAGAGGACATGACAAGTAAATAGGTTAGCTGACTTAATAAATGTGGAAACTTCACTGTAATACAATCCTTGTTGTGTCTGCAGCAAAAAAAATAATTGGAAGGTGCAAGTATTTAAAAAAAAGGAACAAAATGATGCAGAAGTCCCTGTGAACCTTCCCAATATATGAAGTGTTCTTAAATATTCTGAGGATGCTCATCTTTGTGCATTGTATGGAGATAACTTCAGGATATCTGGTCCGTCTGGTCCATCAGCTGGACTTTGAGAGCAAAGGAGTGTTCCTGCGAGACGATACGAGGTTTGACTGTAAGCTTGTTAGGTCTTTGGAAGAGTTAGTGATGTAAAGACTGTACAGGCAATAAAACCCAAGAATTATTACTGAGTCTGTCTTTAAATAAACATCTTTCAGAAGCTGTGAGCATGTGTAGATGGCGCAGTCCTACCTTCTAATTAATGATCTGTTCTCTTCTGCAGGCTGGCAGTGATGGTGAAAGCATAGGAAACTGTCCTTTTTCTCAGAGGCTCTTCATGATTCTTTGGCTGAAGGGAGTGGTGTTTAGTGTCACGACAGTTGACCTGAAGAGGTAAGAAATACCTGGTTTATCTGACAAGCGAGAGTACAGTACACTTGGTGTCAACAAATATTTGTTCGGGGCTTCTAAATCTTAATTTCTTAATATCCTGAGGTTGGGTGTACTTTTATTAGAAGTGATAATGCTAAGTTCAGCAGAGGCCTTGTATTTGTTTTTGGTGTGAAGTAATGTTTTCACAGCACTAATGTAATGTTAGTCACGGAACTCTCTGGAGAGACTGCCAGTGCTTATAAACCTTATTTTCAGAAATAAAGCCAATGGAAATAGAGTGTTCTCCAATAAATCAAGTGTAAAATGTGTAAGAAAGCAATCACCCTGCTAGACTTAACCTCTTGTAATTTTTTGGAAGGAGGTGACTTGTTCTGAGTTTTCAAAATCCCTGAAGTTGCTGCTTCAGTGCTGGCAGCTGGTGTTAACTATTTCCATGTGTAGTGAGGCTGAGGCAGACCACTCGGAGGGGGAGAAAGCAACTTTTGTCAACTGGGTGTGCATTTGTAGCAGCTCAGAAGATTTCCTCTGGCCAGTGTGGGTTTTTACTGCAAATATAAATGTTGCTGCCAGCATACATAAACCAAATATATCATATCTTCCATTTAGCACTGGATGTGGTTTGTGGAAACCTCAGGAGTAGAACTTGTGCTTGCATACTGTTTGTAGTTTTGGACTTCCTTTACTTTTAATATAGTGTTACTTAACCTATTGCGGTTTTTGGGGCAGGCAGGGGAGATGAGAAGGTTAAAAGAGACATTTTATATTTGGAAGCATTTTTACTGCTGTTTTTTTTTGAGAAATGTCATTAAAATACCAAAGATTCCTGATGAATGGCTGGTTTTGTGTCCCTTTGGCAACTTTGAGCTAATTGGATGGGGTGTAAAACTAACTTTTAGAATATAAATTAGTTGCAGGTGTTTAGAATGATCCTTTCTTACAGAAGGAAAGTTTTCTTTCAGTTTTTTATGTTGGAGAGGGCAAAACACAAAATAAATGCAAAATTGAAAAAACTGCACAGGTGTAGGTCAAATGAATTCAACTTTTTTTGTTGTACACTGAATGTATTTTCTGGTAAAGGGGAAGAGAGACCATTGAAGCTAATTCAGATTTCAGTAGATGTTGATACAAACTTTTTAAGTCTGAAATGAATTTTCATAAATAAAAATTTAACATTCTGGATTGTCTAATATATAGTTGTAGAGTAGCGTAGCTTGCAGAAAGTCAAATTCAGCTAACTGCTCAAGTGGAAATGTTTTATACCAGATGGTGTGTTTTCCCTTGTTAGCATTACCGGAATGATAACAGGTGCTATGCCTTGCCTTAATACTACTAATATTGTCACAAGAAACTGTTTTTACAAGCACATTGTTCAAGGCAATTACCCTCTCTTCTCTTTGTTCCTATTAAAGACACAAACTTGTTGAAGAGCTGGCTGGTAATGTTTTTAAGCATCTGAATTTATTTTGCTAGCTGAAAGAAAAAAAGAGGGTTTACTTGCAAACCATGCTTCTGCCTCATAGTGTAATTTCTGTGCAACAGTAAGGCAAGCTCTGTCTGCTTGTGAGGCTTAAAAGGTCACGGCTGGGTACAAAAGTTCGCAAGTAAGTAACTTGGGACACAGGAAAAACAGTCTGGCTGTGGTGTCTATTTTTCCCTTTCATAATTGCATTGGACATCACACTGTGCTAACAAAAGAACATTTTGCAGTTCTCAGTTCTACTCTTAAGACACAAAAATACGCACATAGACAAACGAAGTGGGATGTATCGCTCTTTCAAGGAAATCATGCATTTCTGTTTAGTCAGACAGAGGCTTTATTCTTTCCCTTTTCAGAAGCGGCATTTCAGTGCTTAGAGATTTGACTTGTCCTGGTGACGAGAGCAGAGTTACAGTACATGAACCATTTGTTTGGCTTGTAACAGCATTCAAGGCCAACTTGCATTCAGTTAAGTTTTGAAATCCCATTTTAAACATCTTGATTGTGTGGTTTTACAATTATGTTGACAATTAAAGATTTAATAAAGAGATTAGTAAATATTAAAGACTGCCCAGAGGTAGGTGCAACTTCAGCAGTGTAAAATACTGCTTAGGAACTGGAGACAGGGTTTTTTTTTATTGATGGAATTTTTTTTTAACATTACTCTTCAGACACAGTACTTCTGTAATTGAATAATCACTGTGGAGAATATTACATTTGGGGGCTGGCTTTTGTCGATCTTCAAGAAATTATTTGAACGTTAATTGCTTTTCTGGTTTGTGGTAAAGCTGTGAAATGTTTATATGTTAACTCTGAAGTTAAAGAGCCTGCCCACTTACTAGGGATAGCCAGATATGTAAGTATGTGGCCCTGCCTCCAAATACCCTGGTAGCTTTGGGGCAGGTGCTAGCTATCATGGAATTGTTCTGAGTGGTTATAGAAGTGGGGTTTTTTAAGGGAAAAAAAAGTTGTCCAGTTTTATCTCTGAAGTAAACTTCATTGTAATATTTTTAATTGCTTTCTTGTTTGACTATTAAGGGAAGTTGTACTTTTAGCCTTTTAAGGATATTCCTGTGTACTTGTGGTGCTCTAAAGGCTGTGGCTTGTATGTGGTAAACCAGGGTTTGTTTATGATCTGCTGGCGAGGGTAGCAACTGGAAGTCAAACCCTGTATTATGCTTGAGCTCTGCCTGTGGGATGTTAATCTCTGCTTTTTTTTTCTTGAAAGATACAGGTGGTCTGACTGGAGTGGCAAGAGGGGTTAGTAAAATGCTCTGGGATCCTTGAGATGCACTCTGATTCTTTGGAAAACTTTTGGTCAGTTCATTAGATTAGTCTGTTTCTGAAATAAAACCTTTCCTTTGATAGTATTATTGCAAATCCGGTGGTCTTGCCTGTGTTTGTTTTTAAAATAACATTCCTTTTGAGGAATTTTATCTAGCCAACATGTGAAACTGGAAGAGAGCCACAATGACTTCCTGTGATTGTTGTGGGTTACAAAGCTGTATTTCAATGAAGTGTTAAGCTACTTAAGGCATTAACCGATGACAGACTTTAAATCCTAAAGTAAGAGGGCAATGGCGACTATTAGTGCAAAATAACTTATTTTCAACTTTTAAGCTTCTAATGGTTAAATTCTTGTATTAACAAGACTTCTGTCACCTGGCTAAAAACAGGGTGTTTAATGGTCTTCAGTATGAAAATAAGTTTTCTTGTTCAGTTTTACATATACTGCCAAGTGCTTATAGCTGTCCTGAGTACACTTTGGCACTATATACTCTTGCTGTTTACCCTGGTTCAAAGGTTCAGAAGTGGGCAGACGTGAAATTCTGGCAAGGGTTCTTCATTTTGCAAGAAATGGAAAGCAGCATTTCCACAGACAAACTTGTAAACTCTGCTTGGTTTACAGAGCATGCATGCTATCCCTGAAAACAAGGCTTTCTCCTGCTACCCTGAATGACCATGTTTGTGTATATTTCTAATCTAGTTTCCCTGTCCGGTACAGTCGGGAGGCTTTCTTGAACTGTAGCTCCAGTATCTAGTAAATCCAGTTCCTGGTGCTGGCTCAGAAATGTGGCCACATCGTACAAAGCACAAACTCAGTTCAAGGGTTATGGTCCGGTTTGGATTTGTTCAAACATTAACGAAGAGGCAACTTTATCTTGGCAAATTTTCTGCTGTATCAGGTATCGTTTGTTGTTCCTCATCCAGCATAACGCTGTCAAAAGGTGGTCCTCATCCTGCAGCGTGTGCTCTGGTCTACTTGACAGAAATGGAATTGTACAGTCGTGCCTCATCTGGATCATGTGTACTGTCAGATGTTAGCACACAGGGATGGGCTGAGGAACTAGGAATTGCAGACTGTCCTCTAAAACATGGGGAGGTTCTAGAAGTTAGACTGTGTCCTTCGGAGCTGGACTGTGTCCTGGACTCTAGTCAATAGCTTCCTCAGAGGGAAGTTTTAAGTGCTGCTACTGAAGAAGTGCCAAGCAGTACTGTAGTTTTATTTCTTGCACCGAGACAGTTGCAGTAGCATGGGACTAACTATTACCGTGATTTAGTGGGGAAAAATTGGCTGCAGCTTTTTAGATGATGCTTTGGATTTTATAGTTTGTAATGAATCCACATCTCATTATTGACTTCAGCTTCGCATTGGAATCTGCTGACAAGGCAGACGTGAGAGCTTTACATTCAAAAGTAAGTTAGGCACTTTGGGGTGAAGGAGTAGGTAGGTGTATAAGCACAGCTGATGTACAGGCTTCTAAATACATGCCTGCGGTCTTGTTCCTTGACTCTACAGTATAACAGCACAGCTAGATGAGAGAGAATACGGTTGCTTATACAATAGACTGGCCTAGCTTGATAAAGATTAGTGTGAAAGGAGCTGGAGTGAATAGCAAGAGGTGTTGCCAAAACTGACTTAATATTTTGAAATGTCTGGGTATTTTAGTTTGATTCTGTTTCTCTTGTGTCTAGTAGTGCTAGTGTTGGGGATTCTCCTCCCTTTACAAATAAGAGCAGCACACTTCTGGAAATAGTTTATTCACTGGAGGAAGGTCTAAGCGTTGTTTTTAAATGTGATGTTTAAGTATCTGTCAGCTTGTCTAGAACCAGATTCTGTGTGCACATAGTAACTGGTTTATAGATACTGCTCCATCTCAGACTTGCTGGTTTCCAGAGGAGCTCTGTGTAAAGGGGGAGGATTATCACTGATCGCAGATTACGCTATATATAAACTCTGTACTGCAGATCTTGGGAAAGAGAGTGTGTGTGTGTGTGGTATCCCCCCTGGCTGGTCAATGTTATATCAACCTGAGAAAAGCCATAACCAGAGGTAGGAGGAAGCAGTTGGTTTTAAGTACTTGAAATTAATTGTTTTCAAGTATATATTCAAAATGCTGATCAAGCTGTAGACTCACTTTTTAAAAAGAGAACTGGTGATATCTTTTAAAAACTGCAGAGACGTGAAAACCTCAGGCAGTGCTTTTGTGATTTTAGCAGTGAAAGCTAGGTCATGGATGTCCCATGCTTACTCTTTTATTGGTTTGTATTTCACCCTAGAAAGCCAGCAGACCTTCAAAATTTGGCTCCAGGCACTCATCCGCCCTTCATAACTTACAATGGTGAAGTGAGAACAGATGTGAATAAGATTGAAGAGTTCCTGGAAGATGTTTTGGCTCCACCCAAGTAAGTGTTAAAATGATCGTTTGTCATTTTAGATTAGTTGGAGTGTTCTCAAAGGGGTTTTCTGCACTAATTATGATGTTCTTCAGCATTGATAAACTGAAGATTAGACACTGAAAATAGCTTGGAGTTCTTGCTTGCCATACCTTTTTTTCTTTCCAGGTCCCTCATCTGTATATTAAAAAATATTTTCTTTTAAATATTATTTTTAAATTGTCCTTTGTAGAATCCTGTCAAGCTTTCTTCTCCCTCAGCTGGCAGGCAGCAGCAAAACGCAGACACTGCCTTTAGCAAACTGAACTGTTTTAGTGTGGCAAGACTACTTTTTTTCATTAAAAGATCTGGATTCCATGATATTCTGGGACAGCTGGTATTAATTTAAATAGAAAAAAAAAAGATCTCTAGTGGACAGAGAATGGACAAGAGTAGTTAATTTGTTTCCTGTTTGATCCTTAACTATATTCTTGTTTACAGAACTGCCCATTGGCAGGACTGCTGAGCTAGAGGGAGGGAGCTTGCTGTTGCGGCCCTGGGCCGGTTCAGACACTGTGCTTGAAACAAATGCCTCATTCAGAAAATGTAAATATGCTCTGAAAAGTGATAAAGTGTTGGGTTTAAAAATCTTTTAACTTAAATGGAAGTGTGTGATATTACGTGTGAGAAGAAATTCTTCCACATTAATCTGAAAATAGAGAAATTAGTAAATGTAGGTTAGGAATTTTTTTTTTTTCTAAAGGGCTGTTTTCTTCCTGTTAACATATGATGAGCATCATTCTGCTCAATGTGCTGTACATCTCCTCCTTTCTACTTTTTAGGTACTTAAAGCTTTCACCAAAGCATCCAGAATCAAACACTGCTGGAATGGATATATTTGCCAAATTTTCTGCATTTATCAAAAATTCTAGACCAGAAGCTAATGAAGGTAGGTCACATTGTTTCATTGTCTTGTTTTTCAGAGAAGCTTTACTGTGAAGTGTCTCACAGACAAATTTTGCTGCATGTTAGTGGACACTTGTGGGAGTCTGACAAATTAAACCTGTGGTTAAAGTTAATGGTTAGAGACAAATTTCAGCTCTTCCAAAGAGAGCTTCCATGACACAGTGTTCATTCAGAATTTTAGTAGGATATGCGTGGTTTGTAAATATCGCTGGCATTGCAAGTCGTCTAAGCAACAGCCACTCGAAACTCTTGAGCTAAGTAGAAATGATTTTAACATCCAGAACCAGATTCCATGCAGAGTTTGTCATACTCCAGTAGGTGAGTTTCCATGGATTTGCTGGGAGGCCTTTCTGCACTCTTGATTATTTTCAGAGTTCTGAGTTAAGCATAGTTCATATTGCTTTCCTTAAAGGATTAAGACCTTTCTGTGTGGAAAGAACATAGTAGATGGAAGGTGAGAAATCAATAAGAGATAAAGGATGCACAATTAGACCTTTAAATAGTTTAATACAAGTCTTTTGTCTTCAGTGTATTTGGAGGGGAAACTTCAGGAATCAGAATCCCTTTCTGCTGAATTTCAAATGGAGACACAAAATACTTGTAAACATTGGAGAAATCCTTTTTGGTTTTGTGGGGTGTGCTGCCCTCTGCTGCTGTATTCTGTAAACCTCCTCGGTAGTGTGTGTGTTCAGTGGTGGCTGCTAGCTGAGCATGTGACATTAAACAGATTACATTTAAATGAATATAAACCCTAGTGTAGCTTAATTTTAATTAGTTTAAGCCAGTTAGGAGTAGTCTTAAGAAACTGACATAAGCCACTTCTTAAACCAAAAATAAACAGTTCTGGACAATCTTAGAATATTTTAAAGTAGTGCCAACTCATGTATAATCCAGCTTTTAAATAACTTCCATCTGTGTGATATTTAAAGGGATTTCTGTTCAGTTTCAGTGTTACTAGTGACCGCAAAGGCAGCTCCAGCAGTTGTGTTGCCACAAAAATTGTACAAGGGTTAAAAATCCTTCAGTCTATGGTCTGTTCTGGGTGGTACAGTGATGTGGGTTTTGTTTTTCAGATCTGGTATTAATATCAATATTCAAAATTATAATCTGCTTTGAAATCTGTGTGCTGTGGTTTGGCTTTCTGTTTTGTTCTTAAAACTGGTCCTTCTTCTGTAGCCTTAGAACGTGGCCTCTTGAAAACCCTCCAGAAACTGGATGAATATCTGAACTCTCCTCTTCCTGATGAGATAGATGAAAATAGCATGGAGGATATTACAATTTCTACTCGCAAGTTCTTGGATGGCAATGAGATGACATTAGCGGACTGCAACCTGCTACCCAAACTACACATTGTCAAGGTAAATGACTTGTGTGTTGTTATGTAATAACGAAGGACAAAATGCTTATGGTTTATGACATTCTGGAGTCCAACTAGTTTCAGCTATTTGTAAGCTCCCATGAAGTTTAACTGCAGTTCTAACAGTGCATGGATTTGAGATTTAGATACTTCACAAGGGCTTTAGGGGTCCGCAGGTTGAGTTCAGTGAAGGTGTGAACGAGCAGACAAGTTGGGCGGCAGATGATAAAATGGCACAAGCTAAAAACCTTTTTCTGCACTGACCAATGTGGTGGAAATTACAGTGCTTAAGAGAATGAGGTAGGAGAAGGAAAGTGATCATCATGTGACCAGTTAGTGCTTGAAGTGGATGTCTTCTCACACTTGTAGAGAAAACTGCTCTATGAGCAATGAAGTATGTGACACAATATGAGACACAAGGATTGTATGAAAAAAAAAAAAGTCTGAAATGTAGAAAGAGGCAGCCTGAGATAACTACAGGGGTGAAGATGTGCCTGTATAATCTTGGTTTGATTTCTTTTCACTGTCTCCAGTGATGTTTGTCAGTTTTGTACTGCAGATGGAGCCACAGATTAAGTTTTTGTCTGGGTGCAGAGGTATTTACTTTGGTGAGGACAGGAATACAAACTGAGTGAGGCAGTGTGCTGCCACGTCCAGGCATATCCCAGGGGGGCAGGTTCTGCTGACTTCAGGAGTGACTCCAAGTGTACGTGTTGGAAGGATAGCTGAACAAGAGAGTGACAAGGGATGGAACAGTGGCTCTAAGTTGAAGGACGTAAATTCATAATCTAATTATTTTGTTCTAGGTGGTGGCCAAAAAATACCGCAACTTTGAGATTCCCAAGGAAATGACAGGGATTTGGAGATACCTGACGAATGCTTATAGCCGGGATGAATTCACCAATACCTGTCCTGGAGACAAGGAAATCGAAATAGCTTACAGTGATGTAGCCAAGAGACTCACCAAGTAAACAGCACTTGCAAAAGAGACGACTTCTTGCATATTCCATAACAATGCTTCTAACAGACTGCTCTTTTCATATAAGATAGCAATTTTTTTTGCATGAACTTGCAGTTATTCAAAGTTATGGTGGATAGACCAGGTACAGTAATTACCTAAAGTTTGCAGACTTAATTATAGGCTTGGTTTTTTTCTTAACCTCCTTTCACAGCAAGTTTGAATATCATTAATGCAGTTATGTTAATATTGCACTGGGGTAACTCTAGATTCTTCAGTATGAAGGGTTATCTTGCCCCTAATACTTTACTTTGCAAACATTTGGTCCCTGTCAACGAATTGGTTGAGGATACTGTCTTGCTATATGGTACAAGGAATATTTATGTATTTTGGAATTTATTGTTTTTCCAGAAGATCTATACACAGTTGTCGTATCTGTGACACATTGAACTGTACCTGCTTGTCTATCCTATTTACATATAGAAGGGAACTTATCATCCAAAAGAGCCATTTGCAGAGTACTTGGCAGCGTTTTTTAAAAAAAATTATTTTGGATTTGAAATCACAGTAATGGTTGAGAATGGACTCAAATGTGAAACCTGGATTTGGATGACCGCAGACATCAGGGGAGTTTGAATCTAGGCTTGAGTGCTGTAGCAGGAAGCTCACAGTTCAGAGTTAGTGTTTAGTTGTGTCTTCAAGAGCTTGAGGAGATTAAGAAAAACTTTTTTTTTTTTTTTTTTTAAATTGGCAACCTACATTTGTCTCAAATTGCAGCAAACAAATAATTGTCAGGATGCCCTTGAACATCATGAAACCAGAAGAACTGGATGCTTGCCATCTGTTCACCTTAAAAATTGCAAGTGGCTTTCTTTTTGGTAGTTAAGAGCCTTTATTTTGTATAGGTCTTTCTGGTGATATTTACTTAAAATCTGTGCTGTCATAAACAAAGTACATGTAAACATTAGTGTCCTAGTTGATAAATAGCTACTGTATGTGGTGAATAGCAGTGCAATGATTAGTGATGCAAGACTGAACGCTGATAGCCATTAAAGTGGGAGTCTTTTTGGGAACTTTTTTGAGCTATTTCTTTCCTGAAGAAAGCTAAAGTGACCTTTAAAGATAGCATTTGCCTTAAATTCTAGTATGCATTTTTTTTCCTGAAAGGAAATCTGTTAATTACTCTTGTAAAGAAATGGTGCGTGGAATCCAGTCCTTGACGTTAAATTTATCCTAATTGCTTGTCTGTGCACCTGGACTGCAATTTTGCATAATCGTAATCATTGCACTACTATACATAATCTTTTTACAGCAACACTGAGGAATAGCACTACAATTTTTTTAAAAGCAATTTTCAAATATTTCTAAACCAGGGAATAGTTTTCTTGTTTAAAATTAATGATTTTGATGCATGAAATAAACTGCTAGGTTATTTTTAAAAGACCATCACAAACAACTCCAAAGAACACTAGACTTATATGCCTATTTTTTTGTAAAGATACTTTTATATTTAACTGATTTTAGAAGCTGGAAAGTGCTATTCCTGCTAGGTTGTTCTTGGAATATTTAGCATTCTGCAATAACATGGAAATGGTCACATAAACACTTTTATACACTAATTTTTTTGGTAAGCACTGGCTTTATAAAAACCAGCCTGATTTTTCTAAGCATCCTGCTTTTGCTACTTTATATACCCATGAAGTTAGTTTGACATAGAAGAGGTAGAGTACAAGATCCATATTTGTATACATGGCTTGTGGTGCCTTGTCTTGCCTTCCTAGAGCTAGAATTCCAATATAAAGGCAGTTAGCAATCCTGTTACGTGTCTTTCGAAGACAAGTATAGATACACTTAGACCCTATTATGTTTTTTTACAGGGGTGTTTAGGCACAGAAAGAAAATTCTGCAGAGGGACCTGGTTAGGAAAAGCTTAACTGTAGCCTTTTAATAATTACTGTATTCTAATGTCACGTTCTCATCCTGAATAAAGTTTTTTGGCCATAATAATCCTCTGTAGGGGTTCGGTCTTTGCTACAACGTGACATCTAGAAAAAGGAATGACTTTCTTTTTTGTTTGATAACATTTTTAATGATATATAGGGTAAAAAAAAAACCCCAACCCTCATTGGTCTGGTGCTCTTTGCCATCGTATAGTTAACCTTGAAAAACCGAGAATATAGGAAGCAATGTGGGCATAGCTTTGTTCAATTTGTAACTCTACTTTAAAACCTAGAGCAGGTTGGCCCTTGGAAGTTGTCTGAGCTTGTAGTAATCGGGCCTCGCTCCTTTTAAAAGCAAATTAGCCATTGCGTGCACACTTGAGTACATCGGGCAATTATGTGCAGATGAGCATGAAAACAGATTTCTAGTGTGTGCACAGCCTGCACATCAATGCACACAAATACTTGTTAAAATAGCAGGCTTGTTGACTTTCATAGATAATATATTCTCTCTACTTTTTAGGCAATCTTCAAACAATTGTAATACATTATGTTCAGCATTAAGTATTTTAATGATTGTGTCTGAAAGCTTGTAAACAAAGTTAAAGCTCTTGCTGTAACTAATGTGTTTCTTATCTTGGTACAATGATGAAGTACTGAGCGGGTGAGCCTTTCCCCTAATGGCGTGATTCAGATGAGGATGGGGGTAGCAATTTCTAAGGCGGTTACCGGATGATAGGTGTTAACTGTCCTGTGTGAAAGGAGTTGGTATCTTTTAGGCTTCCTCTTGCACAGTTTTGTTGTGTTGTGGCAGAAGCTGGCCGGCCTCTTGCTGGCTTCAGCAGAGGCCGGGAATCTCATGGAGAAGCGAGCAGGTTTCACCTCTGTAGGTGATCCCTTCAGAAGAGCAGAGTGTAGCTGGGGTGGTGTGTGAAAGGCTCAGCGTCTGGTGTGGGTAGAGCACTTTCATCTGGCCCCAATCACCAGCGCTACATTAATTAAAAAAGCCCTTTCATAACTATGTAAATTCTTGACTTCTGTCAACTTGTTTACAATCTGATCTTTAAATGCATTTTTAATTTCATCAAACAGCAATTAATCTACCCCCTGTTTAAATTTAAAATGATGCTTCTAGCCCCTTCTACAATTTAAAAACAGCAGTTACCCTTTCAAGTAGGCATTCCAGTTTGCAAGTTGGTTGCATGTATTAGCATGCTGAATAACTTACTTTATTCTCAAGCTGAAATATGCTTAAAGTCCCATTAAAACAGGTGACTTGTGTATTTCCTGAACATAAAGGGAAAATCCATCATCTTAACCATGTTTTTTGTGTGGGAGAACAGATTATAGTATATGCATGATGGTTTTTTTTTCTCTTAACAAAGCTTTCCTTCTTGAAGAGATTTCTTATCTGTAAGAGCTGCCTGTCGAACAAGAGGCATGTGAACTTCTGAAACAATTTGACGCACTCCAAAGCAATCCTGTCCCTCGACTGTTCACTGCTGGTCTGTGTACATGTCTCACACGGACAGTCACAGCCATGTAGCTCGTATGTTTGCATTTTCCCATAAAATTGCTGTTTTTTCCTTAATGGGCATGTCTAAACTGATTGAGAGTTGCGTGCAATTCCATGATAAGAAGAGAGATGTAATCAAGTTTTTATGCTAAAGTAGCAAATTAGCATTTCGTATCAAAGGAACACAGACATGAATAAATTGAAGATGTTTGAGCCAAACCCACTGATGCCTATCTCGATGTAGAACAAAAAGTGACTTAGTACAGTCAACTTTTTTTTACTCTTTGCCACTCAGAGTACTATCTGAACACATTCAATTAATATTTTCAGAAGAAGGCTTTATCCCAAGTGAAAAATATTTAATCTGCCTCAGAACCTGTGCCACCAACTATTGCATTTTGTTTCTGGAGGGGGTGGGGGGATGGGAGAATAGTGGAGCAGAATAGGATCTTGAGACTCCCAAGGCAGGACGTCAAGAATTGGAGCATTGTTTGCAGAAATACTTGAAGAGTTGATACAATTTATTGTAGTTTGCTTACGTCTTTCACTCTCTGGAACATCTTTTACAGATATACCAGTATACTGCTGGCAGCTATTGTTAAAAATAAAATTATATTTTCACTACCAAGCAGATCTTTCTCTTATTTCTGAAGACTACAGTTCTCGCATGTGTAAGCTGTGACTTGAATGTGGTGTGCTAAACTACAGAACAAAACTTTGTAGTAATTATATTCTCAATTTTTGGCCTTTGTTTTTTTCAGTGGTGGGGTGATTTAAGGCAGAATATGTGTTGATTCTAACATTATAACTAGCTGTCATGCCCCTTAAAAAAGTGAAAAACTTTCCTAAAGTTAAGAATGAACTGAGAAATACTGAATTCTCCTACAGAAGTTATAAAAAGTGGTTTGTTTTTTTTTTAAGATTTTAAGTTGAAACTCTTAAGACCATAAACTTTGGTACCTTGTTTTTCTGTCGAGTACTAGGTTTTCAGAGTTAAACTGTGAAAATTGATTAAAAAGAGATCAAGAAAATTCTCATGTTTGGTTCAACTTGTTTACACCCAGATAATTCGCTAAATAGCCATGTCAAGAGTTCAGACTGAATTGATCCTGTCTGCAGAACTAATGGACGTCAGACTCAGTACTTTTCTTCTGAGTTTCAGCTGTGTCTCCTTACTGTCTCTTGCTTTCAAATATGTCTCAACTAGCCATGGCAAACACTGTACACCCTTCTTTTAATTTGAGTATGTTAACTAGGTACTAGGTCTTCAGAGCAAAGACCACCAGCCACTATGGAAGTTTTCTTCAAAACTTCCTGTAGAGCATTATCATGTCAATCTTTTGTCTGTCTTATGAGTGTTTGAGGTGCATCTGGGGTCTGATTTTTGTTTTTGAAAGGAAATTTGTGGAATCCAGAAGACTTTGCTGGAGCCTGTAATCTGGGATGCCATCATCTGAGTTTGAGCATGTGCAGGAAAGTAACAGACGTGCTTGTAGTAGTAGCAAATCCAATGATTAAACCCTTGGTAGGATTACATACCTGTAGCACTGTATTATTTTACTGACTGCGAGGTTTGTTATCAGAGATGGGTTTTGCAGTAAGATTTGCAGTTGCATGGTTTGCGTTTGGTCACATACTTCCATGAAATACATCAGAAGGTAACGTAACGCTCTCTTTGTGTGAAGAGCACATGGAAAGGGAATAATGTTGAGCTGCAAAGATGATTCTTGTCCTGCATGGCAAAGGTAATAGCCTTACTCTTTTGTACAGTTATGGTTTTCTGCAAAAGCTACTTTGGATCGGCTAATAACCTTTATATTTTTTGCTAGATTTTGTTTTTAAGACACCTCAGGATACTGCCCAGTCTGGTGCAGAAGGTTCCTTCTGGATGTCCTAGCAAGAAACAGCTGGATTTTGACTTCAGTGTCAGCTATGGAGCCCACTCGCAAACAGTGCTGTGTCGCTGCTGACTGCGAGCAATGGAAAGAATTTAAGAGCTTGAGGGGAGCTAGGTGAGGCTGAACGTTTCATACTTTTTTCTGACCACTGCATTCTCCCTGTTCTCAGCAACAGCTCTGATCCAA